GCAGGGCCGGGGGCCGGGGGCTGGATGGGGCAGGACAGGACAGCATCAACCGCTGTACTCTGAACGGCAATCATGGCTCCCATCACTGGGGCCATGAGAGAGCCTGGCCAGCCGTCAACTTCTTCCTGAGCACGAGGCCAGGTCACCCCACGCTGCCCTCCTAACTAGCCTAGACAGCTGTCACCTGGCCAGCTGCAGGCAGCCTGGGCAGCTTCCAGCTCAGCCCTTGTGGATGTCCCGCCCAGACATGGCGATGGCTCAGCACTTTGGGGTGGGCGCTGAGGCCAGGCTGCTCTGAGCCGACAGGCAGGTGTCCATGCAACAGACTCAGGACAGGACCAGGGGCAGCCATGAGAGGGGCCGGGGACTTTGTCACAAGAGAGTCCGGAGTCGTCCTGGCGGTGGAACCCTTACACGCGGCTGGGGCTGCACTCTGCCTGAGAAGCCCTGGGGTAGCTCTCCTTGGCCACAGGAGCATCTCTGTGCATCCAACCCCCAACCCTGGCCATCTCCAGTGGGGGCCCGTCGGCAGGTCCTCAGGAGGCCAGTGCGCCCAGCCCTGCTCCACATCCATAGACACAGGCAGCAGGGGCTACAAATGCACACAGGTTTGGAGGGCCATGTGGCCGGAGCAGGCCGTTTGAAAGGCACGTCCCTGCCAACTGGCCATTCCTCTGGGAAGCAGCCTGTTAGCCAGCACAGCCCTTCTCGCTGCTGGGAGGTCAGAGACCAACCAGCCCGGCCAACCTGCTGCCCTGTCAACCCTCACCCTCTGCCCCGTGTGGTTTGGTGTCTGGCCGGCAGGCAGTGCACTGGTCAGTGGGGCCCTGGTCTAGTGCCTGTGGAGACTGTGAAGAGCTGCTGAGGGCCCACCCAAGGCAGTGGACAGCTAGCCAATAAGGCGAGGTTCACACTGCCCACGGAGGCCTCTAGCACTTTAATGAAGTGCAGCGGGGCCCATCCTGGGGGCTCTCTGGGGAGAGACTGCACCAGGGACCATGGCTCCGAAGGCACTCCTGCTCCCACGCCATGCCACGCCACAGCTGGTTAATTAAGCGGCGGGTAACTACTGTAAGCCTCCCAACTTGGGTCTTTTTCAGAGTGCTCTGGTCCCTGCCATTTCTGGAGACCCACGTTAGAGTCCGTCCGTCCATCAGTTTCCACTGTGAGCTGGGGACGAGTCCTCCAAGCGAGGCTGAGCCTCCCCTCTTCACTCATCAACCCTCTGCCACATCCACACGCCGTCCAGCCCTACAGGATGGAACAGCCTGCCCATGGCTCCCCAGCTCTATGGGAGCAGGAGGCCTCATCTCTCCTGGGCAGTGGCTGGTGGGCCCCAGGCTAAGCTGGCTGTTCGTGGGTCTGGGCTTAATCCACTGTACCACCAGCCCCTGCATGTATTGGGGTCATCTTCAATTTCTCTCTGGGAGTGCTGGTGGGTCAGTGATGGACAGCCAGACACCGCCCACTCCTCGGGAAAAAGAGGAGGCTCCTCGTAAGGACTGCCCGCACCCAATGCCCATGCAGCTGCTGTGTGCTCGGCATCGGTGGCAGCGGGTGTGACCTGGCATCGGTAAGTTTCTCTCAGCAATGCCGTACATAGCACTCCCAATCCTGCTCACACTCTGCAGAGCGAACCCCTACGCAGGGCAGTGTTTGGGTTGGTTTTCTGCACTGAGTGGCTCCTGGGTCCAGTGACCCCCTGGTGGCACCATCCCATCTGTTTCTCCAATGGCCCTGGGCCCCTAGCTGCCACCAAGTGGGTCATCAGGCCTCACAGCTCTGCAGGCAGGACCGCTCCGGGGTTGGAGCGGCCCACGGCCTCCTGGTCAGCGCCGGGCACCCCCTCTAGGACCCCATAGCTGGCCTTTGCCCCATGGGGGACTGGCAGATATGTCGGTGACAGCTGTCATGGATGCCCTGGCTCAAGCTGGCCCCCATCTACTCCTGGGCTAGGCTTTCATCCCAAGGCGGCGGCGCTGGGACACTGCCGCCCACGAGGGTCTTCTTGCCTCCTTCACTTAGGTGGGTTTCAGGACTGAGCCCCACCTTCCTCCCTTTCTCAGTCCCTTGGTCAGTTCTGCCTGGGCTGACAGGCCGCCTGGACTCTCCTTATAGAACCTTCAATTCCTGCCCCCAGCAGCTCTAGGCCTGAGGCCCACAGCCTGCAACGCTGGGGCTGCCCACCACCTAGTGGTGGACGCTGGGACTGCGGGGCAGAGGCATGGCTAGGCCCCCCACAGGGAGCCCCCCACCCTAACCTGACAGACAGGCCCACCACACAAGCTGGCTTCCCAGGTCAGTCAGCTGGCTTCACTCAGGTCTGGACGGGCCCGCCCGTGAGCAAATGTGAGCGTATGCACGTGTGTGTGCAGAGACCTGAGGCATGGGAAGGGGCCTCGCAGCCCTGCTGAGCACCTCCGGGCAGGGCAACCCCACCCACTGGCATCGCCCTGGAACTAGTCCCCACCAGTGAACCTGCTTCTCCCACAGAGACCCCAGGCCACACGGAGCCTCTCAGCACGGCGTCCTGCACCCTCTGTCCACCCCATCCCTGGCAGGGACCGCATCCCCACACTCAGCAGGTGAGGCAGGCCTGCCTGGCCACACACCTCAGGACTGCACCACAGTGGCCAGCACACTCAGGGCCCTGCACAGGCGGGGCCACACCACCCTGGGCGGGAAAGGAGGGGAGGCCCTCCGAAGGTGGACCAGCCCCTGGGCTGACTGCAGCCAGCAGGTTCCAAACAGCAAACCCAAGAAGTCCAGGAGCTTCTGGGAGGGACACAGCACCCCAAGGGCCACACCCTGCACCCCTGGGGCTGGGGCCAGCAGGAAGCAGGACCCTCGGGCTGGCTGACTGGGGGGTCCTGGCTCCAGGGGAAATAAGAGAGCACTCGCTTGTGACCAGGAGCTCAAACAGCCCCGAGGGGCAGTGTAACAAGCATCAGGGTCAGGGAGCAGGAGGACAGCACACTGCAGGGCCCAGGTCACGGGCACGGACAGCATTCCGAAGCCTGGGCCACAGGCAAGAGGCCACAGGCAGGCAGGGCAGCACACCTGGCCGGGAGCAGCTGCAGGACCATTGGAGACAGATGCGCAGAGGCCCCCAACTTGGACTGGGACAGAACTGGCCACAGCTGCTGACCAGAGAACGAAATGGCTGGCAGCACTGACCACCTGCCACCCCACATCCGCTCACATGCTGGCAGCTAGCTTGGCAGCTACGGGGGCCTGAGGAGACAGTGGTCACCCTCCATTACTCATCAACCACCTCAGCTCACCCTGCTGGAACTACAGCACCAGCCCCCATGCAGGGTGTGTCCCCAAAGCTGCAGGCACTCCCAGCAGGGGAGTCCCCTTTCAAGCTGAGTGCCCCAAGACCGATGTGTGCCCAGGGGAGCACACCCACCTACCTGAGCTGCAAACCGGTTGTCTGGTCCAGCTGCTCCCAGCTCTGCAGCCTTCCCAGCAGCCTCTGCGGGACACAAACACCCAACCAGTGAGTCATCCCCGGCCTGTGCCCAGCATTCTACCATCCTCCTATCCTATCCGTGGACCCCACGATCAACCACCCATTACCTACTGACTGCACACCACAGCCACTTAGCTCTCTGCAATCACCCTCCTCTACACACTGGTACTCGCCTCCTCCCTACACTGTCGTCACCTCCTCACTGTCCCCTCCTCCCTGCACTGTCACCTCTCACTACACTGCTACCCCCTTCACCGTGCTATGGCTCCTGCCACATCGCACACACAGTGACAGCGAATTGCCGTGTCCACTGAGCTCAGCCCAGGCCCAGCTGCTCCCTGGACATGAGCCCAGTTGTCGGCAAGGTGACGTCTTGCAGGCGTGCTCACTGCACTGCTGGGGCGGAGGGATGGCAACTGGGCCACAAGGTGTGTGCCACTCACCCATCACTGGGGGCCTGACGAGCAGCACTGAGGGTCTGAGAGGAAGGCACTCTGCCCCCAGGTGGTGACAGACAGCAGTAGGGTGCCAGCGCTAAGGGCTGAAACAAGCCTTAAGGTCTGGACAGGTGACCTACTTATTGGCTGCCCTTTCAAGAACCAGACCAAAGCTGGCTGTTACACTGATTACACCATGTTTCTGGGTGGGAGTCGGTCCCCCCGCAGCCCCTGGGCAGCCTGGCACGTTCTGTTTTGATACACGTCAGCCCCACCCTGAGCTGGCAGCACATGGCCGAGGTCGAGAGAAACTTCTGAAACCTGCTGTCAGGAGACCGTGTAAGTGCTGAGTCTGCTCATTCTCGTCACCCCCACGCCCGTCCTGGTCTCTGAATTAGGGCAGGTGCCCAGAGAAGACAAGCGGCCTGAGGGCAAACACTGTGCCCCCCACCCGCCTCCAGCACCAGCTTCGGGCTCCGGGTCCTTCCCCGCTGCACTCTCCACGGGAAGGCCCTACCCGGCCTCGCAGGCCGTGTGACCCTCTGCCAGGTGACCTGGTCTACCCACATGCTCTGCAGCACGGAAGGGCCTCTTGGCCCTTATTCTGCCTGCCACACTTGCAGCAGCTTCCACACATGCAGGGGTGGCCAGCGGGACCACAGACCAGGGGCGTCCTGGTCCCCGGAGAGCCGGCTGGAGGCTGAGTGGAGCGTCCCGCAGCCGCCCGGCCTCACCTCCTTCTCCAGCTCCAAGGCCACCAGCTCCTCCTGCAGCTTCTCCTGCCGCCCGAGCCGCCTCTGGAGGCCCTCCAGCTCCTCCTGCAGCAGCCCGCTCGTCTCCTTCATCTCCCTGTGGGTCGGGGGCAAGCCTCCATCACCCAGAGCCCCAGACCAGGGTCACCACCCGCCAGGCCCCACCCCGCCCCCTCACCTCAGGCGGGCGTTCTCCTCGCGCAGCTGCTTCAGCTCGCGCTCCGCCTGGGGGAGCCGCCCCAGCTCCGCCCGCATGCTCTTCAGCACGGCCGAGTCCTGCTCCAGCAGGCACCGCTGCTGCTCCAGGTCCTGCAGGTGAGAGGGCTCACAGCACAGCTCCACAGCCCACCACCCCACGCAGAGGTGCCTGCACCAGCGAGGAGGCACCAGGAGTGTCCCTCACCTTGATCTTCCGCTGGTGCTCCTCCCTAGCGTCCTGGGCAGCCTCCAGCTCCTGGACCTTCTGATTGGCTTCCTGCCACTTCCTGGGGAACAAGGAGGGACCGTGCTGGGGCAGGAGTGACGGCATCCACGGATGGACACACGGGCACACACAGATGGTGCCCAGAGCAGGTATGAGGACACACACAGACACAGATCCACACACAGATCCACACTGGCACATACACTGACACACGCAGATGGTGTCCAGAGCAGGCGGGAGGGATGCCTCTGGAGTGCACACACAGGTGCACACAGACACACATTCACACACACACACACACACACACACACACACACACACACGACACCAAGTCACATGTTGATCCACACAAGCTGTCAGATGCACAGATTCACACGCACACACAGACATGTACATAATGAGCCCGTTTGTACACACACCCACGAAAGTATGCACAGGTGCAGAGCCACACGTATGCACAGACATGTACAGATATGTACGCATACTCTCACAGGCGCACACACAGAGACCACTGACAGGCCACACCCAGACATGCGCAAGCTCTCTTCCCCCAACCAGTCCCAGCCCCCCACTCGGTGGGCCCAGTGCTCTTCGCAGGAGAGACCACACAGGAGCCTCACAAGCTGGAGCTCCCCGCTCCTGGGCAGCCACACGCTCAGAGCACGTCAGAGACAAGTCCCCCAGAGCTGCTGCCCCAGGCACACTAGGCCCTGTGAGCCTTCCCAGGCGCCCATCCCCAGGGCCCTGCTGAGAAGCCGGCCTCCCACCTGTGCTGCTGGTCCAGCTGCTCCCTCAGCTCCTCCTTCTCCGACTCCAGGCCCTTCACCTGCCTCTCCTGCTCCATCACGCTCCACTGCAGCTCCGACAGCCGGCCCTTCAGCACGTTGATAGTCTGAGGGGTGGTGCACAACCTCCCGTCAGCGACCCAAGACCAGGTCTGCCACGGCCTCACCAATCCTCTGTCCCCTCCTGTCCATAGGTTCTCCCTCGGCACCCCACCCAAGATGCTGGGGACACAGCCAGACCCTGGGAAAGGCCATCATGGGGCAAGGGGTACAAAGGGCACCACCCAGGATGGCTGGACCGAAGCCCGTGCGCCTGTTCCCTGCCCCTCGCACAGGGGCATCCCTCAGGTCTGCTCCTTGGGCCTGTGTCCCTGTCCCAGCTGCTCTGGGCCGACCAGCCCTTCCCATGCTCCTCTTCTTCACCGTGAGGCACTGCAGGCTCCAGCGAGTGGCTGCAAGGGCCGGTGGGCACGTGAGGACAGCGGGGGCACGGCCCCCTGTCACGTGTCAGCCCCGAGGAGGCAGCTCACCTCGCCGGCCTCAGCCAGGCCGTCTTCCTTCTCACGCAGCGTCCGGCGGGCGGCATCCAAACTCTGGCGGCACGAGCGGCCACGCTCCAGCTGCTCCTTCATCCTCTCAGCCGCCTCGGCCTCACGCTCCTCCAGCTGCCGGATGCGCGTCAGCAGCTCCTGGTTGCGGTCGACCTCACGCTGCCGGAGGACAGAAGGGTGAGGGAGAGCAGGACAGGGGCCTCAGGCTGAGAGGGCAGCCAGAGATCCGCTGAGCAGGCTGGAGCATATCCGGGCACCTCAGCAAGGGACCGGGATGCCCAGAGCCTTGCCAGGTCCCCTCCAGGGCCCTGGCCTTAAGCAGACACTCTGGGCAGGGGCTCAGTCCCACCAGCCCCAGGCTGCGTGGGACACCTGTGCAACCCCGAGCATTACAGTGTGGACGACCGGCAGGGAGGACCTGAGGCCGCAGCTGACCCACCCTGGAGAGCGCCTGTGCTTCTGCTGCCCCAGCAGGGACCCCAGCCACCACCACCACTGACGACGTCAGTGTCCCTGCGAACGAGTGCCCAGGAAAATGTGTCAGTGTCCCCGAGGGCACGTGCCAATAGCAGGACACTTGCTAATGGTCTGTGCTAGGGCCTGGGTCTGGCCCGAGTCACTCTTCTGGCCAGGCCTCAGGCCACCTGCCCACGCAGCAAGGGAAGAACAGGCTCAGGGGCCACACCTCGGCCTCCTGCCCCTTCACCCCCCACGGCTGTCTGGCAGGCCCACACAGACACCTGGGCCATCTGCACCCACCTCGTAGTTGCGGGCGCTGGTGGTGGCGGCACGCTCCAGCTCCACGCGGGCCCGCTTGTGGCTCAGCTCCATCTGCATCTTCTCTCGCTCCACCTGGATGACGTGCGACTGCGAGCGCAGCTGCTCGGCCCGCTCCTCCAGCTGTGGCAGAGAGGGGCGGGCCTCGAGGGGGCACCCTGCACCTGCAGACCAGCTGCATCCCTCACTCCATACCCACAGACCCCCTCCCTGGCCACACCCCTCATCCATACGCATAGACACCCCCTCCTTAATTACACTGCTCACCTGGCACCAGACCCCTCCCCAGCTGTACCCCTTAAATCACACCCACAGGACCCCTTCCCAGCTGCCCCCCTCACCTTTCACCCATAAACCACCCCCTCCCTAGCTACACCCCTCACCCACAGACCCCCTCCGGGGGTGGCGGGGCCTCACCCGCATGTTCTGCTGGTACTGCATCTGCAGGGAGCCTGACGCAGAAGTGCCAGTGTCCAGGGCTGGCCTGCCCTCCACGCGCTGTGAGATGAAGTTGTTGAGTGACCGCAGGGAGGACAGGACTGTGGTGTTCTCACCCAGGTCCTCCATGACCACCGTCTTCCTGCGGAGAGACAGAAGAGTTCAAGAGAGGCCGCCACACCTACAGAGCTCCAAACGGGCCTGCCATCTGCGCCAACCCACGGCCGCCCAGCGGGTCAGGAGTGGGCCGTGCTCTGAAGGCGCTCTCGATGGCTGGCTTTCTTGGAAGTGTACGCCCAGCCTTCCTTCCAAGTCGCCCTGCACTGGGAGCACCAGCCTTCCAGTGAGCAGCTGAGTGCACGACGCTGGGAGCCCCACAGCCCCGGGGTTCCCAGGAGACCTCACGTCCAGGCAGCAATAAAGAAGAGCCCAGAAGAGGGCCTGGGAAGGCACTGACAGCACAACACTGCCCTCGGGGGCTGTTCCAGCAGGGCCGGGACACTGCCACAGCCAGGGTCACGGCGGCCAAGACGCTGCACCAACTGCAGGAGGGAGTCCCCCTGCCACCTTCAGCCTGAAGCTTCCGGGGCCCCAGGCTGTCTGAGGCTGTAAACCAAGGTCTAGAGACCAGCCATGTGGACCCCTTGAGAGGGCCACAGGCAACACGTCTGTGCAGGACACCGTCCTCATGACACGTCCTGGGGACAATGGAACCACGCTTCAGTCAGCTAGAGCCAAAGTCCTCCCACCACCCAGGGCGAAGAGCTGGACCAGAGCCCATCCTTCAGGCCCAGGGACCCTGTGCTGAGAAACTTGTAGACCCAGGGAAGATAGACACCAAGACACCAATGGGCCAGGAAGCACAAGCTGAAGAGAAGACCTTCCCCCACAGCCGACACAGAGAGAGACCCTTCCCCAGAGCCGACACACAGAGACCCTTCCCACAGAGAGACCCTCCCCCCACAACCGACACAGAGAGAGACCTTTCCCCCAGAGCTGACAGAGTGAGTAGGTGAGCTGGTACCCTGGATTTGGACTTCTAGCCTCTTCAACTGTGAGGGAATAAATTTATATTAAAGAAGAAATACAAAGTGACAGCGAGATTGCCCCCAGATGTGTGTGGGCGGTAGGGCCACAGGTGCTCCCAAACCCAGCAGAAGCCTGAGAGATGGGCCTCACACCAGAAGAAGGTGTGGCTGCCTAAAAGGGACACCTCGTGCCCCCAGGGCAGCACTTTGCTCTGATACCCGCAGGTGTCAGATTGAAACCCCTTTCCACCTCACCTCCCAAAAAAGAAGGTGACGAATCTTGGGGCAGCTGCTGAACTCCCCTCCAACAGGCCCCGGCCTGGCTGGAGACCTTTTCTCCTCACCTGTGCTGTCCTGTCCCTCACACCACACTGACAGCCCCTGGCTGTGAAGAGTGCCTGCTCTCCCCATCTCAGTCACACTGTGAACTGACAATGGGTGCAGGAGAAAGAATGAGCGCCCCCACACTGTGAGCCCATGATGGCAGGCAGGCAGAAGGTGGCAGGCTGTTCCCAGAAACCCAGCCAGGTGACAAGACCAGACCGTGGACAGGTCTAGGAAGAAGTTCAGCCAGAACACTCCTTAGAAACGAAGAGATGGAGGGGAGACTTCACCCCGCGTTCTTCAGACACGTTGTCAGGAGAGACCAGTCCCTGGAGATGGACGTCATGCTTGGGAAAGTGGAGGGGCAGCAAAAAGAGGAAGGCCCTTGATAAGATGGATGGACACAGTGTCTGCTACAATGTGCTCAGGTGTAGGAGTGGTTGTGGTGAAGGCAAGACTGGGCAGCGTGGTTCTGCTGGGATCACGCTGGCCTGATGGGCCTGCAACAAGAGATCTGGGAGAGACCTTTTCATCCCCATGAAAGATCCAGCAATACAAAAAAGCATATTGTTGAGAATGAGGAGGTTGGAGCAGAGACCCCCAAACCTATCTGTAGACAATGGGACAGCCCCTCACAGAAGGGCTGCAAAGAAGGGATGAGTCCACCAGGGTGAAGCACAGCACTGAGGAAACACACACTATTCCTCTGGTTCCTTGAGGCTTCCTCACCCCCCACTATCATGACCCAATCCTGCCTTTTACTTCGGGTTAGACCGGAGCATGTGCACAGGTACAGATAAGAACTCGGGATACACGGAATCCAGGTCAGATAAACCCCTCAGGAACAGACAATGGGAGTAACGATACCTGAGGGTACAAGGAAGGTGGGGAGAGAGGTGGAAAGCAGCACAGGGGAAGGGAAACAGGGTCAGGGTGAGATATGAAAATAATAATAATTTATAATTTATCAAGGAGTCGCCAGGGTGGGAGTCGGAGGGAGGGGAGGGGAGCTGATACCAAGGGCTCAAATAGAATGTAACTGGAAAATAATGATGGCAACACGTACAAATGTGCTTGATACAATGGATTGATTGCTGTAAGACTGCATGAGCCCCCAATAAAATAATCTTAAAAAACAACAACAGACACATTCTCTTCTCAGAGGTGACCACCTAGAAATGACACCTGACAGCAGCCCGGTCAACAACTCCATCCTTCTGAGCCCAGAACTGGCCCACCCAGCACGAGCCTGGGGCCGAGCGTCAAAGGCACGCATTTCCAACGGCTATCCTCATCCCACGGGGACCTACTCAAGCCACCAGGGCCAGACACCCCTTCACACCGCGACAGTCGCCGGCATCACCAGTCCAAGCGCGTGGCCGCTGCTGCACCACCCAGTTACGCCAGGACCCTGAGCGAGCGGTGCCTCCGAGGAGGAGCCTGGCCCCCTGCTTCCCAGAGCCTGGAAAACCCACGGAGCGCTCCGCTCTGCACACAGCGAGTCACGTGTGTCGGACTCGACGCCACAACCACCCACAGGTGGCCGGACACACTTTCCTGCTTTTCACAGGACGCAGCAGACTCAGATTAGGGGACCATTGAAAAGGCCCAGGGGTGCAGTTCTGCTCTGAGACCCGTGGGGGCGCCGAGGGTCGGGCCGGGTGCGGCGGTCTTCAGGTGTGTGACCACCTATCTGTCAACAGAAGTGCACACACCGTGAGTTCCCGGGGTGGGAAAACTGCGGTGATGTCACTCTCCTAGGACCCGCAGCTCAGCGGCCCGGAGGCCGTGCGTTGCCCAAGCGCTGTCGCCCCCAACACGGGCCAGAAGCCTGCCCGGGGCCATCGCCGAACCAGGTTTGGCTTGGCCGACAAGCTGGCCAGTCCCAACAGCGGGGCTGGAGCCTTGAGTGGGCGGCCATGGGGGAGGCTGGGCTGGGTCAGGTTGAAATCGGGGTGGGGTTGGGAGGCTGGGACCCCACTGGAGAGGCAATCCCGACCCTGAGGTGCAGGGTCTGGAAGCGAGCAGAGGAAGGGCGGCTGGCTGGGCCCCACAGAAAGGCCCAGATTCAGGAGCATGGGGTCACGGAGAGCGTGACCCCACAGACCGGCCCAGACCCGGGCTCAAAGGATCACCGGGTTCGAGACCATGGGAACGAGAATCTGGCCGGCTGGACCCCACGACAAGCGCAGATCGGGGTGCACGGGGAGCGCGGTCAGGGATCGGGGCCCACAGAAGAGCCCAGATCTGGATGCACGGGGTCACAGCGCGCGAGGTCCCGGCAGGCTGGACCCCAAGACAAGCGCAGACGGGAGCGCACGGGGCCTCGGGGAGCAGGGTCCGGTTAGGCTGGACTCTCAGACGCACGCAGGTCGGGGATCACGGGGCGGGGGGCGGGGAGGGCCGGGATCGGCCCCGAGCCCCCGACGGGCGCAGCCCGGGTCGCAGGTCGGGCGGCTGCAGGGCGCGGGGCCCCGTAAGCGGCCACCTCCGCCCGCTCCGCGCCCGCGCGGCCGCCTCACCTCAGCCGGTGGCTGCAGCCGCCGCTCGGATCTCCCTCCTCGGCCGCCGCCCGCGTCTCGCGAGAGGTGCGGCCGGTTCTCGCGAGACCCGGTGCGACGAGCGCGCGGCGCGTCCTGGGCTCCCGCGTCCGCACCCGGGCCGCCACTCCCCAGGGGACTCGGCGCCGGAGAACGGACACTGGCCCGGGCCGCCCGAGCGCCCCAAGTCCCTCCGCCACCGGTGGGCTCCGTCAGAGGCGCGGCGCCCGCTTCCGTACTGCAGGACGCAGCCGCGCCAACGGTGGCCGCCGCCGGCCACACCTCTTGCACTCTTGGGCCCGTCACTGGGACAGGGACTGGTGCCGGAGCGAGCACGTCCGTCCCTTCCCGCCGGATCCTGCAGCTGAGCGGAAGCCTGGGACGTCCTGCCTCGCGTCGCTTTACCAGGCTACCTTCCGGCAGCTCCGTGGAGCAGGCCGCGCGGGCCGGGCCCGTCCGGAGCAGGACTCCCCGAGGCCGTACACCTTTCTCCCGCGGCGCCGCTGGTGGGTCTGAAATGCAGACCTCTCGGTTAAGGGCCAGGCGCTTAACCACTGTGCCACCAGGGCTACTCTGCGGCGTTCTTCTGGGGGACAGCCCCGGCCCATTATCCGCCTTCCACCTGGGCTCCGCGCTGCCCCTCTTGAAAGGAGCCCTGTGGCGCAAGGCTAAGCTTCAGTCGGTGGGTCCTGTCTCCCCATGGAAACGGAAGTGGGCTCTGCTTGATAAAATCCAGACCTGGACCAGATCCGGGACGCTGCTAGGGACTCCAGTATCCCTCCTCTCCTGGGTCCCTGGTCTAGAACCCTCCCTTCTCCAGTCAATAAACTTCTTGAGGGCTAGGCACACCTCCAGGAGCTGGCTTTTAGGAAACCAGCTTTTTACATCCCAGTGTGTGGAAATGCCGTCATGCAATCTGCACGCTTTACTGGGCATCCCATCCCTGGAGTGCAGATGCACACACCACGTTCAGCAGCTGCAGCAGTGTGGCGTGCACACAGATACTCTGGTCTCTGGAGCCAGAGGGAGGAACCGAGGCAATGTGGCCATCCAGAGGAAGCCAGGTCCCTCCATGACCAAGTGCCCACAGGAGACATACAAGGAGCTTTAACAAACAAATTTATTCTCTGGCTCTGTTGGCTGGGCAGTTTCCACCCACCCACCCTGCCTCTCGTACCCCACATCTGCCTCTCCTTCATCTAATCTTGGTTCTTAGAGACACAGAGCGCCTCCAACACTAATCCCACCTAATGAACAAAACAAGCCCACCCATTCCCAAATGGAATTGTGAGCCAATACGTATTTGGGAGAGGGCAGCACAGACACCGACGGCTCTGGTCTGCTTGGGAGCAGGTGCAGTCACAGACTATGCCAAAGGGAGGACCGAGTGTCTCTGGGACGACATTCCAGGTCTTCTCACTGGGAGCAGCTGGGGTGTGTGGAGCCAGAGGGGGGTTCCATCTCCCAGCTCAGCTCCATGGACACCCCCCCCTTCCATCTCCAGTCTATAATTTCCCCTTTCCAGAGGGTGACTTTTATTAATCCTGCCCAGTAGCTTCCTCGTCTCTTTGTCAGCTGCCAACAAAGACCCCACCTGCCTGTCCCAGCAGCTCTTCACTACGTTTGCTGCTTAGGTGGTCGTGCTGTGCTGTCGGCTGAGTGCTGGGCTGCCAACCACAAAGCTGGCGGTTCAAACCCACCAGCTGTGTCTCCAGAGAAAGATGAGGCTGTCTGCTCCTAAGAACCCCATGGAGGGCCACTGAGTGAGACTGGACTGACAGCAGGCTGCACACCAGGAGGTGTGTCTGGGTGCGAGTCTAGCCACCAAAAGGCTGTGAACACAGTGTGCTGTCACCATGGGGCCAGGTGGACACTCAGTCCTCCACCAGCCCCTCCCCTCTCCGGTATCCCTTGGCCAAGAGATAGACCTCAGCCGACTCCTTCCTGCTGGCCTGGGGCTTCAGCGACCTGGAACTCTGGAAGTCCCGCCTCAGCCTCTCCTCCAGCCGCCGGCTCTGACTGCCAGCCCAGGTTTTACACAGGAAGGCACCCCCCAGCCGCAGGAAGTGGGGCGCCAGGTCCAGGAGGGCCCAGCAGAGGCTGACCAGCCGGTCATGGTCCAGGCCTCGGATCCCTGTGGCATTGGGGGCCATGTCGCTCAGAATCACGTCTGCCTTGTGCCCCGGAAGCAGTTCCTGGATCCTCCGGAAGGTTGCGGGTTCAGTCACATCCGCTGGACACAGGAAAGTCGCTCCTTCCAGGGGAGCTATGGGGAGGAGGTCCACCCCAAGCACGAAGCCGACAGGAGAGCTGGGGTCTGCGGCAGAAACGGGGAGGGGGCAAAATTTACCCCACAAGAACACAGTAACACAGGTCAGACGGGTAAGGGGGCACGGTTTATACCACAAGAACACAGCAACTGAAGGCCAGATGGTGTCGGGTGCTCCTGAGGAAACGGGGGCCAACAGAAGCTAACCCATGTCAGGGTCCCAGGGGCCTCTCTAACAAGCATCTCCTCCGTCTCTCTATCTTCTCAATGAACTAAGAGAGCTAGCTGCCCGTTAAACCCAAGGCTGTTGTCTCTGCTGGAGCAGGCAGCCTCCTCTTTCCCCCAGGAGCGGCCCGCGGGTCCACACTGCCAAGCTTTCCATGAGCAGTCGAGGAGTTAACCACGGTGCCACCAGGCTCCTTCCGTTCCACATGAGACCGATCCAATTCCCCGAGGCTTTTGCCCATTTGTCCATGACGACTCAAAGAGGCCCTACAGGACAGGGTGCTCCTGTGGGTGTCCGAGCCCGTCACTCTACGGGAGTGGAGAGCCTCATCTTCCCAGGAGAGGCTGGTGCATTTGAACTGCTGACCTTGGAGTTAGCAGCCCAACTTGTAACCCACTTAATGGGGGTGGGAAATAAATGAACCAAGAGGTTGACTGTGCATCTTAATCTAAAAGACTCACTCCGTTATTTTTATAAACTATCCCACTGTTTACTGTAAGGACTCAATCCAAACCCAAACCCAGTGCCATCCAGTGGCGGTCCCACAAGCACAGAAATGCCCGCAAGGCCCTGCCTTCTTCCTTCCCAGGGAGCAGACTGCCTCCCATTCTCCCTATGAGCAGCTGGGGGCCTCAAACCGCCTACTCTCACTTAGCTGCCAAAGGCTTAACCCCCGCGCCATCAGGCTCCTGGAGGAAGTGCCCCTGGCTCAGAAAGTATCTGCTTGACCAGGAGGAACGGAGCTGCTGCTCACCAGACCTTCTTTTTCAGAAGGTTCCAGAATTGCGGTCTTGCCCCTCGTTCAGTGCTCTAGTTACAAACACACTTGCGACCTTGGTTTCCTGGGACTGCCACTCTCCGGCTCGGGCCGTGGTGGGAGCCCCTGCCTCACAGGCCAGCACCAGCACAGGCCTCTGGCTCCAGCTAACTGTGGGCCCCAGGGTCACAGTGCCCCAGTTTTGGCAGTGTCGCTAAGGGGTGGCTCCCACTTAGGCTGGCGATCCAGGTGTTCAGAAGGGCACCCACATCTTGCACATAGAAGCGCTCACTGTGCATACCTGCAGACCTTCTGCCCTCCCTAGAGCTGCATCACCAGACCACCTACTGCACCCTAGGAAGCTGCCTTAAAGGCAAATGTTCGTTCAGGGCTGCGTTCCTGCCACTCCTGGGGGGACAGAGCCCGAGTGCTGTTCTGGTTTGGGTTGATGCTTGTTCCCACCACACCCGGCCCGTCCTCCATTCTCTGTACCAGATAACCAGCCCCCAAGTACCTGCCCTCGGGAAGCAGAAGCGGCTCCACGCCCTCCCTGCCACCCCCCATCACCACCACAACACACAGGATACTGCCAGTGTGCTGGGCGGGGAGGCCCACCTGTGCCTGCGGCATTGACCTTCTGCACAGCCACCTGGCTCCAGGCCCCGGGTGCTGCCCCACAGTCCAGCACGCAGAGGCCCGGCCGCAGCAGCTGGTGCCGCTCATGCATCTCCAGGAGTTTGAAGGCACTGCGGCACCGGAAACTCTCCACCTTTGCTGCCTTTACGTACGGGTCCTTCAGCTGCCGTGCCAGCCACAGGTGCTCAGCGCCGGTCCGGCTCCTGGGGCAGCTCTTAGCTGTGTGGAACCTCTGACCCTGAAGGGCCGCCCAGGCCAGCCTCAGGGACCTGGTGAGAGAGCAGAGTGCGCAGGTTGGCATCCCACAGAGCAGCAGGGCTCTGGCTCTGGGGTGGGGGCCCTCTGCCCAACCACCCACTTGTGGGGATGGCATCAGGATGGAGAGGGGACTTGAAAGCAGTTATCCAACATTCCAGCCCCCAGGCCTTTCTCTGCTCACTTCCACCAAGTGCATTGTGACATGTAAGGAGCCTAAAGAGCCGCCCCTGTGGTTTCCAAGACCCTCTAAGAGAGCAGCAGCACAAGGCCTCATCCTCCTCCCCAGCAGCTAGTGGCCCCAACAGTTAAGTGCTGGCCGACTGGCCGAAAGGTGGGCAACTGGAACCCACCCAGAGGAGCCTCAGAGGAGTGTCCTGGCAGTCTGCTTCTAAGAGGCCAGAGCCACACTGGCAGGGGGGCTCCCGGAGTGGGTGTCAACTAGAACTGCACATTCTTGACAAGGAATTCAAGCCGCTGTGCCAGTCCGTCTCCTAAAGGTCGCCCTCTTTCACTGACCCCTGACCTGACCAGGGCGATGTCCTCTAGGGCTGGTCTCTTCTGACCACATTCCCATCCTAGCCACATGCAGAGGGCATCGAGGCCGTGCCCCCTCCGGGCCCAGAGGCACAACTGGTAGCAGAGAAGTACTGCTAACCTCAGATCAGAGGACGGGCGGGCTACAGCCAAACGCAGCGCCACCAGGGCCGCCCTGTGCCGGGGTTAGAGCAGGCGGAATTCCACAGGGAGGCCAAAACCAAGGTTCTCACATACATACACGCACGCTGGGATTGAGGCGCTGATCCACCAAGCCCCATCCCAACCTGCTCTCGGCTTGCCAGAGACCTGTCCCCCAGGAGCCCCCTGACTTAGGGCCGCAGACCCCACGATCCTTCTCTCTCCCCGATGTGCATATCCGCAGCCCTCCGCTCACTCCCCCTCGTCACCTGCCCTGCACCACGACCCACGAGCTCCCGGGGCTCCCTAGGTGACGCGGCCGGCTAGCGCCGGTTTACTATCGACTAAGAGGAGTCTGACCCCATCCAGAGGCGTCAGAAAGGCCTGACACCTCACATCCCGGGAAGATGTTCAGAGAAGCTTCTGAACACTTGGGCGCCGGACATCAGCTGCTAACAAGGTCCAAGGGGAGCCCCACTTCTCGGATAGGGATTCTCACCCGAGACCCCCGCCCCGCACGGGGGCCCAGGCGCGCAGCAGGCGCCCCATGGACGCAACCTGTGTCCACGCCCGCTCCCACAGCCGCGTCGCGCGCTCCCCTGCAGCGCCCGACTCTGTTCCCGCCCCTGCGCCGGCTCCGCCGAAAGTGCGCGGCACACTTCCTTCCCACTTCCGGCGCGCCCGTCGTCACTTCCGGCGCGCGCGCGACCAGAAAGCGAGGAGGGCGGGCGCTTCCGAGCGAAACTTGTGTGGAGTGCGCGGGGTCGCGGGCAGCCGCGCGCGGCTCCTCGGGCTGGGCTCGTCCTCAGCTCGCAGCAGGCGCCGGCGGGCGCTGACCCTTCGGCGGCAGGGGCCCCTGGTGAGCTGCACGGTCTCCCTGGACCTCAGTGCCCTGCCCCGAGCTCGAAGTCCGTCCCCGGGACCCGAGGAGCGGGCCGGCCGCCTTGTCAGAAGGCCCGGTGGTTACCATGGAGTCAGCCCGCCGCCCCACCACCCCACGGGTGCCCCAGGCCGCTCCTTACCGTTTCCGGGGCGTTTTCCGGGGGAACTAGACAGCCATGGCTTTCTTCCAAGCCACCTCTGGGTGGACGCGAACCTCCAGCCTTTCCGTGAAGAGTCGAGCACCCAGCAGGTGGCTAGGTCACCTAGACCACCAGACGAGGCCTGGGTTCCAACTGAGGCCCTTGTGCCGCTTACCGCTTAACCCTTGTGCCACCGGGAGCAGTGGCTGTGCGCGTGATAAGTGCTAGCCAGCGTTTCTGGAATCATCTTTGTCAGAGTTTGCTCAGGAAGTCAGATCAAGGCCCTAGGGCAGTTCCTGGTGTCTCCAGTGCCCCTGAGGAACTAGGTGCCAGAACAGCAGAGGTGCCTCTTGTCCGAGTGCAGGTGCCCCTCAGCGGCACAGGGTGGTGGGAAGGCCTACACGCTGCAGGTGGTGGTGTTAGATGCCACCATCAGTCGCAACCCCATGAACAACAGCAAAACATGGTGCAGTCCTGCACAGCCCTTACAACTGCCCCTGGGGCTGCGTCCATTGTCGTAGCCACTGTGTCCATCCATCTCCCGGAGGGTCTTCCTCTTGCGGTACCCTGCAGGAGGGCCGCTGAGTCCTGGCATGCTTGTCTTGGCTGCTGCTGGGCCCCCTCTGCTCCTGGTGCGAGTTTTGGCTGGTAGTACTGGAGGCAGGGGTGCAGAAGGGACAGGCCTCCAAACCGGAAGTCGGCAGTTCGCTACCCAGAAGAAATGCCTGGTTATCTGCGTTCATAAAGATGGCAGCTGAGAAAACCCTGCCCTGCACAATCACGGAGTCAGACCCAACCACGGTGGCCCATTTGCGTCACCCCTCACCCCTCCTGGTGCCCGCAACGCACAGCAAACCGAGGCGGCCAGACTGCAGTCTTGTTTGAAACACTGGCAACGCTGTGTTGAGTCCCACATGATGGAGGCGTGGAGCGGGAGGTGGCCTGACACGTGGCCTGGACCTGCCTGGGGAAGCTGGAGGAGGCTCCTGCAGCGGTCCCTACTCAGCGACCCCACAGGACAGGGTAGAACTGCCCCTGTGGGTTTCTGAGACTACGCCTTACTCCAGTGGAAAGCCCTGTCTTTCTCCCTCGGAGTGGCTGGTAGGTTCAAACTGCAGACCTTGCAGCCAGCAGCCCAACACGTAACTACTGTGCCACCAGGGCTCCAGGAGTACTGCAGCGTGTCACTGTTGTCATGGTGTGACACAGAACCATACCTGTTCTTATGAAGGTTAGCCAGCACCTAGATCAGGCTGGGCCCCAAGTATTAAGATTGGGGTGTGGGGGGCTTGGAGGCATGGATGGGTGAATGAGTGGGAGGGGGGTGTAGATAGATGAGTGGTTGGTTAGGTAGCCAGGTGAACAGTTGGGTGGGTGGGTGGATTGTTAGGTGGGCAGGTGGACAGACAGATGGACATGGGAATCCAGCAGAGCTCTACCACCCCAGTGCTGGGGCTCCGGGGCTGGATGAGCTGCTCACTGCCTGGCTTCCACCTCCTTCCTTTCCCCCCCTTAGCACACAGTGCAGCTATAAAGTAACCAATTGCTGTTATACAGACCTTCTTGCTTAATTAGCTCGTTTCTTCACAGCGTTATTACCCGAGTCTCAATTACCCTCTGAGAGGCTAATCATGCTCTGCACTTAGGAAGCAGCCTGCTGGGCGCACTGCCACACCAGACACTGGGCAGCTAAGGACCTGAGAGTCCCTTCTCCCAGCTTCCTGGACCTCCACCTGGAAGAAACTGGCCACCAAGGAGTCAGCCTGCTCACCAGAGAGACTCAGGCCTATGTGGTCCTGCTGTGCATGCTGGGGCAGAAGGGGCCAGCAGGCACCCCGTCCTGCAGGCAGCAGCACAAGAGCAGAGGGTGCTTCACGCTGTGACTGAGGGTGAATACTGAGGACCAGCCACCCCAGCAGCCTGCTCCTGCATGCCCTTTCGCCCAGACCCCCACACGCCAGGACTTCCCCTTCCCCCTGGGGCCCCCGCTCCCTCCTACCTCATGTTGCTGGCTCTCAGCCTGGTAGACGGGATGCAGCTGCAGGCAGGGGCCAGCCAGGGTTACCCGCTGCAAGTGCCCACCCTTGCTGGCAGTGTCCCTGGGCTCCTACTGACAGGCAAACGCCTTGGACATTTCCAGGCCCGGCCCTCCCAGCAGGACCACAAAGGTGTGATCACCCAGTCGTTCAGTTACCTGCTGAGCCACCGACCCACCTCTGCTGGGTGCATAGTAACTGCACCCCAAGGGCAGAAACATGCTGAACCCATGGTGTCCTGGTCCCTGGCCACCTGCTGTCAGGGTGCTGAAGGAGCCAGCACTGTCCCCTCAGTGACTTGGGCACCTGAGAGCTCATTGGAAGGTCACACTCAGGGAAAGAGCTAAAATCAGCCCAGAAACATGTGTCCGTTCATGGGCTTCTCAAGAACCAGATCTGATAGCCATTTACACCCCAGGGTGGAAGTACACGCACACCTTCTAAGGCACCTTGGACTTTAATCTATCTCCGTGAACCCCAGCTCCCAGATACCACGTGGACGTGGACATCTGAATTGGCAGCACGAGGGGCCGAGGAATCAGCCCTGACTCTCATGCCCGTGGGACAGAGCAGACTGCCCTGAGGGGCCTCTGAGCCAGCCATCTCATCAGGAGGAAGACAGCCCTTCTCCCAAGGAGCCACCGGCAGGGTTCCCAAAACACTAGGTCCCAGCATGGGGCTTCAACAGAACCATTTCCTGCCAGCTCAGGCCACAACAGGTCCATGCATCACGTTAGTGAAGGCCTTTCTCCAACTTCGTCCAGCAAGCTCCGCCGCTGTGGCAGCTGTAAGCGGCCGGCTGCCTTGGTATCCTGCAGCTGTAAGCGGCCGGCTGCCTTGGTATCCTGCAGACATAGGGATGCCTTGAGGGCCACTGTGAAGGGGCAGATGCCTCCTCCTTGACGGTACCAGGCGCAAGGTGGGTGGCTTCTCCTCCACACATCTGCCCTGGTGGCACCGGGCTGCTCACGGCACGGTCAGTCTAGGATCCTCGGGAGGAAGATGGACGCTCCCATAAAGACTGGCTGCCACGGGAGTCCACTGTCGGGAATCGCTGGCAGGGGCTGAGTTTGGACAAGGATGAGTGAGACTGGCATGAGGCTACGGGGGCAACTTCAGGGCAGAGAGACGCATGGCTGGCTCAGAGCAACCCGAGTCTGTGCGGAGCCCAGCTGCCACCCAGATGGCCAGCAGTCCCCAGAGTGCAAGGAGAGGAGGCTGTTCCCTTTACTCCAACACCCCCACCCCACTCAAGCCCACCGGGCCCAGGGCAGTGGCTGTGCCCAAAGTGGGTCTGAGTAAACCCAACTATGGGGTGAGGAGGGGCCTGAACTTCGTGGAGACTCATCCCCCAGTAGCCATGTGGCTCAGTGGAATGCACTGGAGAACCAGCCTGCCCTTGGAGACCCCTCTGGTCAGGGTGCAGGGTTGTGGGGGCAGTAGCCCTTCAGGGACCAGGAGAGCTGGGTCAGGAGTTCATTTCAAAGCCCAAGGGCTGGCATGGAGACAGCCACAGGGACAGGCTGTGCCCACAGGAGTGCTGCCTCAGTGACCCGGAACCGCTGGCAGGGAAGGTGCACCAGGAACTGTGCTTGTAAGGCATAGGGGCAGGGCCAGGCGCCCATGGTCAGTGCCTGCACACAGCTCAGGGCTGCATGCCCAGCTGTCCGGTCCCAGAGTTTGCAAGATCCTCCCACTTTATCCTGCTGCTGACAGGGAGACCCCTGCCCTCACACCCTCGATGTGGACACGTCTGTGCACACGCACGACTGCCGGCCAGGGGAGGCAGCCACAGGGACCTGTTCCATGTCAGCACCAGCCCTGTGTGCCCAGCATGTCTGTGCCACGTGGGCCACCTGTCCCAAGTCTTCCTAGACACCTGGGACTGCAGCTCTCCAAGCACCAGGCAGGGAGTGGTGAGGACAGCCCCCCACCCCCCCACACACACACACACACACCTGTCCAGGTCACCAGATGCCCAAGGCTCCCTCCAGGAGGTAGGAAGTAGGCAGGGAGACTCATTTAGAAACATGTTTTAGTTGGGGGGCGGGGGGCATCCAGAGTGCTAGCGAGGAAGCAGGCTGTCCTCCGGGGGCGAGCGGGGCCGAGTTGGCACACTGCTGGGTCCGGCAAAGAGGCAGTGCAGCTTGGGCTTCAAGTCGTTCCACACCTTGCTCATCTGGGGGGGAGGGGGTGTCACTGTGAGGAAGGTCTATACACAGGACAAGCAGGTCTCGGACAACAGGTAAACTCACAGGCGCCAAGACCAGGGCCACCACAGGGCACCCCCCCACGCTTAGAGTGCTCTCTAGCCACCTGCCCGCAGTCTGCACAGTCCCTGGTCCACTCATCCCTGCCCCTGATACAAACTGGGCATCCCCACAAAGGAGAGCTGAGCTCCGGGGGTGAGAGCCTCAGCCAAAGCCACCAGCAGCTGCCCGAGTGCTCCCACGCGCAACAGACATACTGCCCGGGCCGAGGCTGAGCTCCTGCTAGAGGCCTGCTCGGGGTTGGCCAGCATCTCAGGACACAGGGTGGCCTCTCCCGAGTGTGGTCTCTGCCCTCAGATCCAGCACCCAGGAAGCCTGGTCAGAACCCCTAGGATGCCCTTTGTGAAGGGAGCGCCACAGGCCCGGAGGACCTGGGCACCACATGGTGTGGGCGCCAACCAGCTGGCCACTGCCCCTCCCATCTGAGGTCTTGGAGAAATGACTGTTCCGTGGGACCCCAACTCAGACACACACCCCCGCCCTGCAGCCCCCAAAATACAACCCCATCACTGCCATCGAGCTGGTGCCGACTCAGCCCACAGGACAGGGTGGGACTGCCCTGTGGCTTGCTGAGGCTGTGACTTTATGGGAGTAGAAAGCATTTTTCTTCCTTGAAGGACCTGATGGTTTTGAACTGCTGACCTTGCAGGTAACAGCCCAACACAACCACTGTGTCTCCAAGGCTCTTTGCCAGGGATCCCACAGGCTACACCTGGCGGTGCAAGAACTCCAGCCACACATCCCTCAAGCCCCCTACGAAGCACGTGGACCGCCTGACAGCCCTTCCCCCAAGCCCCTCGGGTAGGGGACACTCGCCTCGTGGTGGCCCTGGCTCTGTGAGCTCACGAAGGCCCCGAGGATGTGGGAGGTGAGTGGCAGGTAGACATGCACGAGCTGCGTCTCCTGGCGCAGGCAGTACAGGGCGAAGTGGCTGCGGAGCTCCAGCGTCTGGATGGCGTTCTCCTGCTGTGGGGCACCAAGCGGGCACTGACGGGGCTGAGCGGAGCACAGGGGCACCCCCGCTCCCGCCCCTGCTCCCAAGCCCACGCTCAGAGCCGAGCAACCACCTCCAGACACACGCACGCACACACACACGCACACGCATGCATGCACACACCTCCACGATGCGGGACTCCAGCTGCTCCACGGCCTCGGGCTCTCTGCTCTGCGCGGCGCCCAGCGCCTGCCTCTTGGTTAGGCTGTGCCTGTGTAGGGCCCGCTGGTGCCGATGCAGCACACCCTTCTCATGCCGCTCGCACAGGTCCTGTGGGGCGGGGGGCCCACACTCACCCAACAGCCAGCCCCAGCCACCCTCACCCCTCAGGCCCCAGGGGCATTGTCTGTGGGAACAAATGAGCTCCGACCGGGAGGCTGGGGCCTCTGGCCCATCTCCAGGGGGACCACGGCTTCCCCCAGGAGTTAACCTTGAGGCTGCAGACCACCAGGTCAGTGGTTCAGACCCACAGCCCTCCACATAGGAGAGATGAGGCTGCAGAAGCCCCAGGGCAGTTTGGCTTCGCCCCACAGGCCAGCTGCTCACTCAAGGTCAGGGTCAGTCCACTCCCAGGGGCCTCAGAAGAAAGGCCTGGCTGACTGCTTCTGGAAGACCACCCACTGGACACCCTGCAGAACGTGTGCTGCTTGGGCAGGCCCTCCCTGGGGACACGGGCCGCAGACCCACCTTGTAGGATTGTAGCAGGTCCAGGAAGAGGTTCAGCTTCTCCACCACGTCGCTCTCCTCCTGCCGGCCCTGCAGACACGGGGGGTACAGCTGCAGGCAGGGAGCGCCCTCCCAGGCCCCCCAGCCAGGCAGGACCGAGGTCCACAAACAGCTCCCACTGATATGTACTGGGCCTGCCCACCCAAGCAGCTCTGCGGGGCCTGGTCTGCCCTCCTTGGTGCCTCCTGCAGCCTATGAAGGCCGCATACCCCCAAAGGTGGCCGGGCAGCGTCCCTTGACCACTTCCCACGTGCTGCTCCCCCCCCACACACTGAGGGTCTTGGCAATCACCTCACTGACCAGGACACAGCGTCCTGTGGGAGCAGGCGCCCTGGCAAGGGTCTGGGCAGGGCACCCTCTAACCTCGGGCTGATGGTCACTTACCTGGAGTGCAGCCTTGTCAGCCAGCAGCGCAAACTCCACAGACAGACCTCTGAGCGCCTGCTTCAGTGACCCCCATGTGTTGCTGCTCAGTGCAGCCCAGGGTGGGAGTGGGGTTGTGTCGGACCCCAGGGCGCTGCAGGAGACAGACCTGGTCACTTAGGCCATGCCACCCCTGGACCCTGCTACTCAGAGTGGCCGCTGCCCCCTCACCTTGCAGGAGGAGCCAAGAGGGCCTCCCTGCCACTGCCTGTACAGAGAGGAGCCCAGCGAGACACAGACTGGCAGTCTGGCCCCCGAAGCAGATGGCAGTGCTCCTGTGCGCAAGGCTCCCTGGGTTGGAACTGACAGAAAGTGCCGAGTAGCGGCAGCACTAGACAACTGATTGCCAGGCCTTGCTTCCTCAGTGCCACAGGGCAGGTTCAAATCGCCAGCCTCCTGGTTCCTGGTGGACTGTGAGCTGTAAGTTCTGGCCAGGGGCCTTCCCTCGGAGGGTGGCCTGAAGGAACACCTGAGAGTTGGCTTCTCAGTCCCTCCAGATCCCAGGCAGGGTGAGCATACCTTGATGCCACACAGTGGACAAGAAAGCAGCACCTGGCTGGCAGATCCGCCCCTCCCTTCTCACCGAGGCCCTGCCCAGAGAACTCCTCTTACAGCCTAAACCCAAGGCTGAGACACTGCAGGGAACCAGGGCCAGCCTCTGGACGGCCACTTGAAGGCAGCTGCCACCTACAGTAAACACACTTCCTGCTCCAAGCCACAGCCACGCCCAGACCTCCCCATGGACGACCACCCTTGCTGGCTGAGCAACCTCAAGCTGACCATCCTCCGCCTACCTGTGTGTCCTCCCCCAGAGGATCCCTGGATGACCATCCTCCCAGCTAACTGCTCTCTCCCTCGCTGACCATTCTCCCCGCTGCATGTCCCCTCAACTGGCCATTCACTGCCTAACTTCCCCCAGCTGAGTCTCCCCCAGCTCTCTCCCTGGCTGACCATTCTCCCCGCTGCATGTCCCCTGTGGTTGGTGTGCTGCTGCCATCGCAGCCTGAGCACAGCACAAGAGAGTGTCCCCCCCCACCCCCAATGTCTCCATGACCTGCTGTCTGGGCCAGTCCTGCTCCACGATGCCCCCACCCCGCCCCGCCCTACTGCACACAGACCACATGCCTCAGCTCCTTCCCGAACATGAGGAGGTCGGCGGCGTTGTCGATGGCCCTGGTCGCAATCCGCTCGGCCCGGTCCCGGAGCTTGTAGAAGCTGTTGTAGACGCTGCGGACCAGCTCGCGGCTGGCCGCAAACTGGGCCTGGATGTCGGCAGGGAGGAAGTCCTGGAGGGACCCAGGGGCAGGTTGGGACCGGCCAGGTGGGAGAGATCTTGGACATGGGCAGTGCCAGGTGCCAGCCCCGACGCCCATGGCCCTCCACTCCAAAAGTGTCCCTGCCATTGAGTTGATTCTGACCACAGGCACCCGCAGGGCAGGGAGAACTGCCCCGTAGGTTTCTGAGACGGTGACTCTTTAGGGAGCAGACAGCCCACTTTCCTCCCACGGCACTTAGCTAACAAGCCAGTCAAGGGAGCAGTCAGTCAGACCCGAGATGCCTCTGCAGTGGCTGCTGGTGTTAGGGGGATGGGGTGGGGGAATGGAGTGGGGGGGCTCCTGGGGGCCCTCAGGCTTACCTTGGCGTGAGTGGCGACTTTGCAGTGCAGGAACTCGTCTCCGATGCCCTGAGCTGACTCCTTTAGCTTGTTCTGCACGTCCTGCAACGAGACAGTGACGGCTGCGACCACCACTACCCCCCCCCCTTCAGCAAGATGTGCACCCACAAGGAGCAGGGCCCCCTCAGGAGGAGAAGGTGCACTCTCAGGCCAATGCCATGACCCCAACTGGCCCTGCTCCGGCATCCTGTCATTAACCTGCGGGGTCCAAGGCCTTCCCGTGTTCTGGCCCGGGCATGGAGACCCCCAACCCTCCATTCCGACTCTCATCTCATTTGTATGGAAGCAGACGGCTGGCCCCATCTGGCTCCTAGTGAGCACCTGGTGGGTTTGAACCACTGGCCTTCCAGTTATCAGTCTAATGCTTAACCACTGCGCCGTGCTGTGCCAGAAGGACCCGGAAACCCAGCAATGCGCCTTTCTGCTCCACACGGACGTCTGTCCGTCTCAGGCTGCCCGCTCTGCATAGGCATGGGAATGGTGCAGGGCCCTGCCCTATGAACAGGCCTGGGCCCTGGGGCCCCTGACCCTGGGGCAGTGGGTGGCCCCCCAAAGGGGGTGCCCTGACAGAGCCCAACCTTGCACGAAGACCCATGGGGTCCCACAGAAGAACAAGCAGCCGGGCCCACTCATCACCAGCTGTTGAAGGCCCAAGGAGCCCTGCAATTCCTCGAGGCCTGCCCGCCTGCCCTGGTCCTTAGCAAGGGGACCTTGGCCTGGGAGCTGGCGCTCAAGGAACCACACCTGCTCCCCTGCATCTTTCCTCCACCCCCACCTCCAGGATTCAGCCCTGCTGGTGGGGAATTAGCCTTTCTTCCACGTAGAATCACTGGGTAGCTTGTTACAATGTTACAAGCCTGATTCGACCTGTCTCTCTAGATTAAGGCGACCAGACATCCAGATTTTTAACAATCTGTCCCGAGTCCTGTGGCATTTTTAAGAAGTACCGATTTTTGGAAAGAATGCACGACAAGCTAGGGTATACGGTTCGGCTGCCATGTGGCTATTTCGCCAGAATATGAGTTTTATCAATTGTGTCCCCCTTTACCAATGGTAAAATCTGGTCACCTTAGGACAGGAGCACTGCACTGGGGCTCCCCGGAGCCCGACGCTCTAGAGATGACCTCAGTGGGCAGGAGGCTATGTGCTGAAGGCCCGTCAGAGCCAGGACCACAGGCAGGCATCCCCACACCTATCCTGGTGGGTGTCAGTGGTGGCATCTGCTCTTCCCTCTCCCAGGGCCCAGCCTGCCACTGCTCCTACCCTGCGGGCAGGACCAGAGCCGCTGCTGCCTGGGGCAGGCCTCAGCTCTCTTCCCAGATTCCAGAAAGCAGGACTGGCAAGGTGCCCTCTCCCCACCCCACCACCCTTGATGGATACAGCCCCTCTGCACTGCCTCCTCTCCACTGCATGCACCCCGCTCTCCTTCCACTGCACCCCCCACTCTTTCACTGTACACCCCGCTCTCCTTCCACCGCATGCACCCTGCTCTCCTACTGCACACTCCCCTCTCCGACTGTATGCACCCCACTTTCCTTCCACTGCACACCCCACTCTTGTTCCACTGCATGCCCCGCTCTCCTTCCACTGCACACCCCGCTCTCCTTCCACTGCATGCGCCCCTCTCCTTCCACTGCATGCACCCCTCTCCTTCCAGTGCACACCCCAGTCTCGTTCCACTGCACGCCCCACTCTCCTTCCACTGCACGCCCCGCTCTCCTTCCACTGCACGCCGGCTCTCCTTCCACCACGTGCACCCTGCTCTCC